ATTAATTTATCATTTATTATCACCACTTTTCAATTCATTAATAATATTACATCAAGCCTTCTTTATTCAAGGCATCACTTTGATAGAGAGGTTTTCAGATTATAAATCTCACGGTCTCAGGATTTTAGACCAATCACAAACCACACAACCAAGCCACACAATCACACAATCAAGTACATAGAGAACTTCACAGTATCATTCAATGCATATCAATCGCTATTAAGAGTTTATCTATCAAATAGAATAAACCATAACCTACCTCCACCGAAGAATCGAAGTCGAGCAAACTACTTCTCCAACGATTTTCCTTTCCTCAATGCCTCGAAACGTTTCCAATCTATCAAGTATACAATATTCGTAAACAAACAAGTTCATGGACATCCATCATGCTATACTTTTAGCCTAGATCCGCAAAATCATCAAGCACAAATCTATATTCAAGTTTCTAATCTTGAGGTCAATTGGTATATCAAGTCTTCTATTTCTTATATTCAAGCTTAAAGTTAAGTCTTGGTTCCTCCAAATAAATTAATATAATAACATTCATATAATATAGTACACGTAATATTTAATTACCTATACCAACATATTAATACTTGAGTCATAATGTGATAACCATAAGAAAATTCCATACCTAAAACCAAAGGCATAACCCGTAACTTCAACACTGAAATAACGCCTAAAGCCTTGACCGAAATTCCAAATTCATTTTACAATTCTAATTAACTCTCAATTGATCACCAGAAAATCATTAATTAGTCATTAACTTCTTTAATTTCTTATTGGTCATAATGTTTCAATTTTCAAATTGGCAATCACGGGTACAGAGAGGAATTTTCAGTTCGCCTCTTTCCAATTAACATTATAATAATCTAATTCTAACCATAACATTAAAATAATATAAATTCCCTACCCCAACCATTAACTATCCACCATTGTCCTAAATTTGACCCTCAATGTCACTCACCAGGTAAGTAATAATCTTAACAATAACGGCGTTACAGTGCAGCAACCGACCTTGGCAATTAAGTTTACAATTTCATCTCTTCTACCCACAATTTAATATCAATTATATTATCACTATATCCATGCAATTCATCAACATTGGCAAGGAATAAAGTTCAATTGAAAATTTGCTTACCTGATGCCGCATAAAGAAATTTTCCACGTTGTTCGTCCACAGGTGAGTTTCTCTCGTCTCAAACCCTTTTTTTTTTCTACAGTATATTTACTCCCTAATTATTATATAAGTCCAACCATAAAAGTATTAAAAGTGACCCACTATTTATTTTACTGTTCTTTTCTTTAACCACCAACTTAATAAATTATTAAAATTACCCCACTAATTTCATAATTATAATTATGAATAGTCCAAAATACCCATTTAGAATCTACCAGAAAGTATTTTATGAAATCAAAAGCTCTAGTACTCAAAACGATCAAACGGGTCGTTACAGTCGGGGTGGCTGGTGGTTTCGGAATCTCATAGAAAATGCTTTTTTTATGCCTCGGGTAAGCATTTGCTGATATATATAATTCTACGATTTTAAACTAAAAATATGTAGAATATGGTAAAACATTTTTTATTTTGTTGGTCTTAAACATGAAAATTTGATTTTGAAAATTACCAAAAAAAAGAGATATCATACTTTTTGAAATGAACTAAAAAAATAAATAAATTAAAACAAAGGAAATATTACATTGTATTAATCCATTGTTCTAAAAGAACACGTATTTTCTGTATCCATGGGAACAAGTTACATATTATATCTTTGTAATTAATCCATTCCAAGTTAAATGACAATAGTAACATGAAATTAGATGATTGTGAAAAGATTTAAAAAAATATTTGTTATAGAAACTACCTAATTAAGAAAAAATGGTCCTTAAAACATTCACATGTGTTGAAAAGACTTGAGAGACGAAATAGACCAACAAGAATTGTGACGGAGTCTTTTTTTCACAAGTGTTTACTCTTAATATAGAATTTTTCAGACCAACAAGAATTGTGACGGACTCTAATATGAGTATTTAACATTAGTGGTGGAACTAAATATCAGAGAATCGAAAAATCGAATCGAACCAAACTAATTCGGTTTTTCTGTTCGGTGTCGCGCGGTGTTATTCTTTTAAAAGTTCAGTTCTTCGATTCGATGTAAGGGTCTCAGAATTTCGATGCACCGAAGAACCTTACTTTTATTTAAAAAAATAAAAATTAAGTAGCAACAAATGTACAATTCAATATTTAACTTCAAATATTAATTCCCAAGAGGAACCCAAACATATTTTTATGGATGTACATTATGTAAAGGAACTCGTCTTCATCCTTGTTTTTTTTGAAAAATAGTTGGAGACACAATGTTCTTGAAAAAGACAAATATAGTCTTATAGTTAGCATAATAAGTGTTCCTAGCGAGACACATCATTTCTTAACATAGTTTTAAATTCTAATTAAGTATCTTATACTTTAATTTGATTTTGTCCTCGTTTTATTTTTCTTTCGCACCGAAAAACCAATTTAAAAACACTGAACTAAACCGAATCGAATTAGTTTTGCTGGTATATGGTGCACAGTTTT